AGATCACCTTAATGACAGAGGTGGGAGCCCTGGCATGGTGGTTGGCGTGAAGCTGCGCCACGTTGGCCATGCTGGCCAATGTGCTCAATCGGTTCATCTGGCCCATCGCCATGGAAACGGAGGCAGGCGCCAGGCTGGCAGGGATCAGAGGATGTGACATCATCATAAAGGGCAACTGATCCAGAACTAAGGAAAGAATGGAAAGAGAACAAAAACAGACGTGAAGGCGTAAGTGAGCGCAGGCCGGAGTGAAGAGTTTATTGTGTTTTTTTAAAGGAAAATTAAAGGTCAGAGCGGCAGCACAGATCTGTTCCGTATAACATGGTGTGCTAAGTAGAATTAAAGAATAAAAAAAAAAATCTTTGATGACAAAACTTATAATGGACTTTGAAGTCAGACATCTGCACAGCTGTGATTATGTTCTGGGTGAAGACCAAGAACAGACGCCTTACGACTGTTAAGGTGTGTAAAAAATGAAAAGAGCAGTAAAAAATAAGAGGATAAAAAACATTTTAAATGTATACATTTTAAACTTATTTTTGGTGTTTAGTGTAAAGTAGTGAGCTTCAGTGAAGTGTCTCTCTGAGAATTCAGAAAAATCCACAGCGATCACGTTCTGAATAAAAGTCCAAACATTTTCATTGGTTCACACCGAAAAAACTCATCTTGGCCAATCTGACATTTCTACAAATCCTTTCTGTTCAGAGCGCCGCGGTGCTGTGTGTCAGTGTGATTTTCTTCTATTTATGGAGCAAACAACAATTCTGTTGGGGGACAGGGGTGGGAAAATGACATAAATATTTATCATTTAATAAAAGGGGAAAACAAAAAACAAAAGAAACACAGGGAGGAAGTGAAACAAAAGAAGCTGATGGCAGCCCTGGTGCCGGGCCAGCAATGCACGCTGGGTAATTATAAACACAAAGGGGGAAAGAAATCTTGGACTCAATTCCATACAATTGTAACAAATAAAAGAAAGAGTGCGTGGAAATAAAAAAAAGAGAGGGGAATCCAAAGA